CTGTCTCTTTATATATATATATCTATCTATCTCTGTCTCTGTCTCCTTTATTTGTTTATATTTTTTTATTTATATATCTATTTATCTATCTCTGTCTCTGTCTCCTTTATTTGTTTATATATGTTTTTGTCTCCTTCTATCTGTCTCCTCCTCTCTCTGTCTCTCTTTCTCTGTCTCTCTTTCTCTGTCTCCTTTTTTCTTTCTCTCTCTCTCTCTCTTTCTCTTTCTCTCTCTCTTTCTTTGTCTCCTTATATCTGTCTCCTCCCTCTCTCTCTTTCTTTCTCTCTCTTTATTTCTCTGTCTCTCTTTCTCTGTCTCTCTTTCTCTGTCTCCTTTTTTTTTCTCTCTCTGTCTTTGTCTTTGTCTTAATATATCTTTCTGTCTTCTCGGGCCTCCTCAAATCAAGCAGCAGCAGCAGCAGCAGCAGCAGCAGAAGCAGAAGCAGCAACAGCAGCAGCAACAGCAGCAGAACAGTAGCAAGGTTATATGTAGCAGCAGCAGCAGCAGCAGCAGCAGCAGCAGAACAGTAACAACGAGGGGATAAGTAGCAGCAGCAGCAGCAGCAGTAGCAGCAGCAGCAGCACAGCAGCAGCAGCAGCAACAGCAACCGTAGCAGCAGCAGCAGCAGCAGCAGCAGCAGCAGCAGCAGCTTTGAAGGAAACGTGCACAACAAATTATCTGTGAAATATATCGACAGGCCTCCAAACCCTAAACCCTAAACCCTAAACCCTGAGTCCTGAACCCTAAACCCTAAACCCTCAATCCTAAACCCTAAACCCTAAACACTAAACCCTAGACCGTAGAGTCCTGTCGTCTGCAGGGTACGGCGCCTACGGCGCAGCTGTGAAGCACTCTAAACCCTAAACCCTAAACCCTAAACCCTAAACCCTAGACCCTCAAAACCCTCAAGAAAAGCAAAGTAAAGAAATAAATAAAAATAAAAATGTTTACTCTAACGCTAAACCCTAAACCCTAAACCCTAAGCAGGGCCCGCCGGTCGTGGGGCCCCCAGGGGCGGCGGGGCCACCTCACTTAAACCCTAAACCCTAAACCCTAAACCCTAAACCCTAAACCCTCGTTGGTGCTTTTATGTGAGTTGCAGCTCCATAGAGCAGAAACTCTCTCCCTATTAGCTGCTAAGGGGCAACAACAAACCCTAAACCCTAAACCCTAAACCCTAAACCCTAAACCCTAGAATGCTCACAGGC